TGGCATTTGGCACCTTGCTGTCAGAGTCATTTGTATTCGTAATTTTTTTTTTTTCCTCCCCAAAAGGAAGAGGTTTGAGGGGTATCCAGATTCTGCTAATGAGCACACAAGGCTGGCAGCCAGCCCTGAAAGGAGGAGGTGGCTGAAAAATGTTCTGCGGGGGAAAGTGCCCAACAAACATCTTCTTCTTAAAAAAAAAAAAAAAAGACCAATGCCAGCAGCATTGTTTAACTGTCAGAAGTGCTTCCTGCACAGTTAAGGTCCCTCCTGCCTTGTTCAGGTGGGCAAAGCAGCTTTGTAAGGACAGGGCTGACCAAGCCCTCCTCGGCATTTGGGATGCAGGGGACCCCCCTCGCCAGCAGCCAACTAGTTCTATAAAGAGCATAAAAGACTGAGAATTGAGGGGAAAATGTGGAGCGGTGCTTGGGAAGGCAGCTCCCTGGAAAAGCTCGGGGCAGGGGCACGTGAGAGGGAGGGACACCCATGCTTCACCTGGGTGCCGAGGGGAGGATGGTGATGGATACGGGCACCTGCACGCCGCCTGCCCCCCTCCTGACTGTCGCACATCTTGTTGTGTAGAGTATTCCATCCCTGTCCACAAATACTTCTTCCCCTTCATCTTCCTCCTGGGGATGTTCCTGTGGTCCCTGCTAGAGTACCTCATCCATCGCTTTGTCTTCCACATGAAGCCACCTGCTAGTAACTACTATCTCATCACGCTGCACTTCTTGCTGCATGGGCAGCACCACAAGGTAAGTCATGGCTCCCGCCCCCACCAGTGCCTGCTGGGCCGTGGGAACTGTGGTGGCCTCTGCTCAGGCAGAGCCTGTCAGTGCCTGTTGGACGTGACTCGTGGCATCTTCGCCCCGAGCGGGGCCCTTACCCAATACCAGCGAGGGCTGCAAGACTGGCTCAGAGGAGCTGGAGTTAAATCCGCAAGCTGCCGGTTGGGCGAAGGGCAAGACCAGGAAAAGCCATGGGCTCCCTCTAGCTTCACTGGAGGAAACATCTCCGTGGAGCTGGAGAGGACCTGCCACAAAGCCACCGGCTGCCTGGCCGCCTCGTCACGGGCCTCCTTGTCTTTTGGGGAGGGTTTGCAGGCGGCTGCTTTGGGGTTGGCTTTTGGTGGGGGCACGCAGGGTGAGCTCGGAGCCGGCTGTCCCACCGTCCTCCTCCTCTTCTAGTCTCCCTTCGACAGCTCCCGCCTGGTCTTCCCTCCCGTGCCGGCCTCCTTGGTCATCGGCTTCTTCTACGGCGTCCTGCGGGTCATGCTGCCCGAGGTGCTGGGGCTCTCCGTGTTCGTCGGCGGGCTCTGCGGCTACATCGTCTACGACATGATGCACTATTACCTCCACTACGGCTCGCCCAAAAAAGGCACCTACCTGTATGGCCTGAAGGCTTACCACGTCAAGCACCACTTTGAACACCAAAAAGCAGGTAGGTAGGACCAGGGGTGTCAAAGCCCGGTCCACCCATGCGCTTGCACAGCTGATGCTCGGAAAGATTCTGGATTTGGGATGGGGGAACCAAAGAGTCGCTGGGAAAAGGAGTGTGCGAGGCGCTGCAGGCCCCACGGGGCACATTTCTGAGCCCCCCGGGTCAAGGGCGAGGGGGTGGCACAGTGCGGGGATGAAGGCAGCAGCCCGTCTGGCCGGCAGGCACTGGTGCCGCAGCAGAGGCAGAGCCCCTGGGGTGTGGGTGTGGGGGCCCATCCCCAGGACGGTTTCTCCTTGTGCTGGGAGGTGTCAGCAGGCACCAGGTGAGGCCTCAGGCTTCCCCAGGCCCGCCCCACACCTTGCTCAACCTGCCCTTTGCCCGGTTTCCTAGGAGGAAACGCCCCATCCAGATAAGCTAACGTCCGTGGGGTGGGTGGCACGGCTCAGCCAGCTCCTTCTGCTCCTCCTGCTCTTCCTCCTTGCCCTCGCCTTGCCTTCCTCCTGCTCCAAAACACAGGTGCTCCTCCCTCGGCAGCTCGTGGTGGGCGAGCGGTGCCAGGGCTGAGCGCTCCCTTCCCTGCCCGCAGGCTTTGGCATCAGTACCCGCTTCTGGGATCACCCCTTTGGGACGCTCATCCCTGAGGAGACCTTCAAGAAAGAGGACTGATGGCCCCCAGCGTGGCACCCGGCTCCACCCAGGCCAGCATGGGGCTGGCATCCCTGCCCGGCTCTCGGTGGGGGGTGCTGTTCCCTGTGCCTCCCTGAGGGCTGTACCCCAGCGCTGGCCCCCTGCTGCAGCCTCCCCATGGCACGCCGCAGTCTAGCTGTGGCACTGCCAAGTGGGGGACAAGGGGGTGAGAATCCTGGGATGGGGGAGGAAGAGGCTGGGGGGCCCCTTCCTCGCCGCCCTCCTGCTCCAGGACATGGATGTGTGGGCAGGTCTGCTGTCCCAGAGATGAAGTGCCTGATGCCACCCTCCCTCCTCCACCCTGGCACTTCGCCAGAGCCAACCCCCACCAAACCCCTGGCCCTCCTGGGGTGCCCTCTTCCTGGGGTCCCCAACAAGCTGCAGCTAACCCCATCACCTAACTCGTGCTGAGGGGCTTCTGTATCCTGGGTCCTCCTCCCAACCCAATCCCAGAACAGGGGGGATTTTTTGGCCTGTGACCCTCAGGGTGGGATCCCACAGGTCTGGATTTTGCCTTTTTCTAACCAGTGCACCGGTAGCTATCTGCCAGATTTATCAAGGTTGTGTTTTCTGTCGGCAGTGGCTACCTGAAACTCAAACTCAGATGAACACAATTGCTACCAGATGCCTTCTTTTTGCTGATCTTGTGATGATTTATTTTTTTTCTAATGTTTACTGTGGATATTTAAAGGTTTGGAATAAAGTTCTATGTAAAACTATAGAGACTACAATTGTAAATAAACTGTATATTTTGAAAAATAAAGCCTTTTAAAGAGAGTCTGGCGAACGTATCCCTGGGGGCTGCTCCGACGTCCTCCTGCCCTTGGTTCAGCACTTCCCTGGTGCTGGTGGCCTTGACACTTTGCAGTCACCTTTCTCAGCCCCCCATGCTGCTGAAAGCCCTGCTGCCAGCCCTGGTGATGGTGAGGGAGATGCTCCCTCCACCGGGGAACCACAGCAGACCTGCATGACCCTGGGCTCAGGGTAAGCAGAAGCTGGCTGAGGTCACTTCTCGCTTCTCCAAAGTTGGGCAACAGCGTCACGTGCCCCACGGTGCTTCCCAAAATCAGCCTGGCCCTCTGACGAAGCTGTCCGCAGAGTTTCCTGTGCTCCTGGCAGAGGGCAAGGGCCATTTCCAGCTCTGGTGACTGCAGCCTGCTTCCTCAGATGCTGAGGGGTCACTGAACCCCAGCATGGTGGGGTCAGAAGGGACCTCCGAAGATCATCTCCTCCAGTCCCCTTGCTCCAGCAGGTCACCCACAGCAGGTTTGGAATATCTCCAAAGAAGGAGACCCCACAGCCTCTCTGGGCAGCCTGCTCCAGGCTCGGCCACCCTCACACCAAAGAAGTTTTTCACAGGATCCTGAAGCTGTAGGGATGGGGACAGGTCCTGAAGGACCCTTGTAAAACATGGGTGTGATCTAGAGGGTGTTACAGTGTCCTGGACAAGCCTGAGCACAGCAGATGTGCTTGGGGTGCTCAAAATAGCAGCAAACAACAGCATGGGGGGCACAGCACCACCCCCTCCCCTTTTCCCATGGGCAATTCCTTCTCCCAGCAGGTAAAACCCAGCTCCGGGGCACGCGGCCTCCCCGACCCCCTCCTCCGGGGCAGCTTTCCGGGAGCCGGGGCGACGTGAGCCCTGACAGCAGGTTGCACAACGTCCCTTCCGCCGCCCGGGGAAGCACCCTATAAAGCCGGGCTGGTCCCACCAGTCCTCCCCAGGCTGCGGAGCCGCCCGGGCGAGCGAAGCGTGGCCAGGTAAGACGGCTCTTTGTTCTCTCACAGGGTGCCCGAGCCTGGAGCAGGCTGCCCATGGAGGTTGGGGAGTTTCCAAACCTGCCTGGATGCCATCCTGGGTGACCCTGCTGGAGCAGGGGGGGTGGATGAGGTGATCTCCAGAGATTCCTTCCAACCTCACCATGCTGGGGTTTTGGGTATTTCTCTCTCTTAGCAAGAAAACGAGCTGCTTCCTTGGGAGTCTGCTGCAGAGAGCCTGAAGAGGAAGGGAGAGGGGCTGCAGCTGGTTTCTAGGTATGTTCTGGGGAAAATGTCTCATGAGGAGCAGCTGAGGGACCTGGAGGTGTTTAACTGGAGAAGGGGAGGCTGAGGGGAAACCTTATTGCTCACAACAACTCCCTGAAAGGAGGTTGGAGTGAGGTGGGGGTTGGTGTCTTCTCCCAGGTTACTAGCAATAGAACAAGAGGCAATGGGCTGAAGTTGTGCCAGGGGAGGTTTCAACTAGACACGAGGAAGAATTTCTTTCCTGCCAGAGTGGTGAGGCATCGGCCCAGGCTGCCCAGGGAGGTGCTGGAGTCCCCATCCCTGGAGGGGTTCAAAAAACACGTGGACTTGGCACCTGGGAACATGATTTAATGGTCATGGTTGTGTCAGGTGATGGTTGGACTTGATGATCTTGTAGGTCTTTTCCAACCTTCATGATTCTAGGATTCTGTGTTTCTCTCATTTCCAACCAGCAGAGCTGGGCAGCTCTCGCTGGTTGCATCACTGGTGTGGGTGCCTGCTGCTGATTTAGCAGGAGCAATTTCTGTCCCTGGTGCCTGGATGTGGGGATGTGGGCTGAGGAGCAGGGACCATCCCTGCAGGGGCTCTGAGCCCAGAGAAAGAGTTTGATTTGAAATCTTAAGGGGCAAAAACATGGAGAAATCGAGGACACGGGAGTGGTAAAGGTGTGAAAGCTTTTGTTATATGGGTGACAACAGAGAGTGATGTTGGCTAGAGGTGAAAATGGATAAAGGTCAAAGCTGTAGGCTGACCCTGCTCGTCCATATGGCAGCTCTCCAGGGCTGGCTAGCACCAAATTAATTTACATAAATCAAGCCCAACAATCTCCTGCTAATGCAGGGTGAGATGAGCCAACAGTGCTGCTCCTGATGCCTCTGAGTGGCCACTCTGGGCTGCAGGAGCAGCCACGGGGCCAGGCAAGTCAAAGGAAGCCAAGCAGCCAGAGGAGATCCAAGGGGCTGTAGGAGACCTGGAGGGTGGTGTGCCATGGAGAAGACCTAGAGGGTGGTGTGCCCTGTCAAGGCTGTTCCTTAGGGTGGAAGGAAGAGCCACATCTGGCTGATCTCCGAGTGGTGCCCGAGGTTCACATCCCCCGTGGTCAACCGAGCCCTTTGCTGTGAGCATGGACATTGTGGAGAAGGTCCTCTCTGTGGCCCAGGCCATCCACGCCCAGTTTGAGCAGGTGAAGTGCTGTAAGCACCGGTGCCAGCGCCTATTGGAGCGCATCCAGATCCTCCTGGAGCCCGTGAGGGTCCTCAAGGCTCAGCCACCAAAGCACATTTCCCACCACGAAGAGGAACTGCTGAAGAAGCTGCTCCAGGCGCTAGGGGAAGCCCAGAAACTGGTGACGAAATACAGTCAGACCAGCTGGATCCAGAAGTTCCTGAGAGCCCACAGCACCAGCGAGGAGTTTGTCTGGGTGAATGAGAGCCTGGGGGACATCGCCCAGGGGCTCGCACTCCTGCTGCAGGCAGAACAGAAGCAGGTTTTCCTGGAGGCTTTCCAGGCCAAGACGTGTCGCAGGCAGGATGCTGAGGACCTGAGGGACGACGAGGCTTTCTTGGACCAGGTGATTGCAAGTAAGTGTGCAAGTAACCGTGACAGCAAACCCCTTTTCCCTGAGACCAGTGGTTGGCACCTCTACCTAGCTGCCATCCAGCATTGGCTTGGTGGCTGTGGCCAAGGGACGTTTAAAGCACGAGAAAAAACTAACCACATCAGACCCACACGTTCACCCAGCAGCCCCATTCGTACACATTTCTCTCCTCAGGCACCGAGGAGCCCAGGGACGTGGTCAGGGAGATCTACATCGACAGGCAATGCATGGAGAGCAAGGTCGACTGGGTGCAAAGCGAGCTGAACAAGATTGTGCGTGTCATGGAGTGTAAGTTGGCGCCCCGTGGAACCCCATGGCACCCCATGTCCTTCTCCCCCAAGCCCTGCCTAACGTGTCCTTCCTCCCCTCCCGGTGCATGGCGGGAGCAGCCTTGAAGAAGGTCAACGTTGGTAAAAGAGAAGACATCACCGAAATCGAGCGGGACCACCTCACCTTCTACAGGCACCTGCAGGACACCGAGACCTACGACCTCTACGAGGGCGAGTACCTCAAGTACCCAGTTGCCATCCAAACCTTCAAGAGGCCACTGACCACTGACCCGGAGTGAGTTGTCCCGTGGGGCAGTTGGGATGGGAGGGTGGCACAGCTCTGTGTCCATGGACCTCACCCCGCTGTCCCTTCCCACAGGAAGGTGAGAGACATCTTCGTGAAGGAGATTCAGACCCTGAAGAAGTTTGAGTCTCCAAACATCCTGCGCATGTACGGGATCTGCATTGAGGAGAAAGGTAGACGGTGTCACCCTTTCCCTCCCCTGCCTGTCCCCAGCGCCAGGGGGTGGCAGATGGTTGGTTGTGGTGACCTCCCAAGAGGTGGCACGAGGCGGGATGCTCAAGGGTTTGCCTCACAGATGGGAGCCCCTGCTTCTCCATTGTCATGGAGTACTGCAAGCACGGGACGCTGCGGGATGTGTTGACCAAGCAACAGGATCTCTCCTGGGAGATCCGCATTCGGATGGCCCTGGGAGCTGCCAGAGGCCTTTACAGGTGAGTTCCTGCATAAACCAGTGAGTTGGTCTGCCTGATGATCCATGCTCAGCTTCCTGGTGTCCCTCAGTAAGCAGTGGTATCCAGTCAGAGATCATTTCCACCACCCTGGGACACTGGGATGGGAGGTGGGTGGTGGGTTTGGATGCAGTAGCACCCGCCTCCCCTGGTCACTGACCCCTACATCTGGCTTCAAGCCTGCAAAGGCCTGGAAGGGAGGATTCTCCTTCCCCACAGGCACAGGGCAGCTTCAGGAGCACGTCCCCTGTGGGTCCTGCTCATCTGTGAAGCTCATTGTTTTGCCCACACTGGCTGGAAAGGTTGTCTTGGCAGGGTTGGTCCACCAAGACAGGCAGAGAGCTGCTGGCTTCTCTGCGTGCACGCCAGTCCCTCCCCCACACAGCAGGTAGGAGACCCAAGGTGGGGATGGGTGCACCACCAGCATGGGTGGCCTTTGGTTCTGCCTGGCTGCAGGTTGCACCAGACGGAGGAGAAGTCCCGACTCCATGGCTGCATCTGCAGCAGCAAGTTCCTGGTGGCCGGCGATTACTGTGTGAAGGTAAGGACCATGCTTGGAGAAGCTTTTGGGAGTTTTGCATGGTTTTGGGGATGTGTCCCTCTACCAGCACTGAAAGGAATTATGATGGTCCAGAATAAAACCTGGAGTAGAGCCACCTCCCTTGTCACCACTGACACTTGCACCTCAGTTCTTCGTTAGCTCTGTCTGAGCCTCACCACAGCGAGTGTTTCTGAGGCACCCGTCCTGGGATGAGCTGAAGCTGGGGCACTTCACCTGCCTCCCCCTGCGGTTTCACTTGCAGGAGGAGCCATGTGCTGGGCAGCACACATGGCTGCCCACCAGCCTTTGCTACCCAGGGCACCTCACTCTGTTTTCTCCATCGTGGGGCAGCCCCAAGCATGCCACAGGCTCCCACAGGCTGCGTTTCTACCATGTCTCCCTTTCTCTCTCTCAATCAGCTGTCGGGATTTGAGCTGTGTGAAACGGAGTCATCCATCAAGAGGAAAGCCAAGAATAACTGGAAACGAGTCTCTATGTTGGCTTACATCGCCCCTGAGAACCTGAGAGACATCAACTACCCCTACAAGAGGCCCTGTGAAATCTACAGGTACCTATGTCCCTCCTGGGGAGGTGTCGGTAGGCAAGGAGATGTCTGGCAAAGTAGCTGGTGAGCTCTGGAAGAAGAGCAGGTTTCACTGGCTACACAAGCAGCTGTTTGCCCTTGGTATAGCCCAAAACAGTCCTCTCCCTAAGAAGGGAGGAAAGACATCATGGTGGGCTGAGCATTGAGACTCTTGCTTGTCTCCTTCCAGCTTTGGGATTGTGCTGTGGGAGATTGTGACCTCCAAGATCCCGTTTGAAGGTGAGACTGAAGTATCTGGTCCCCTGTGCAGAAGCCACATGGCCCAGCATGGCTGTGGTCTGGTGTTGGCTGCTCCCTGCTCCTTCCTGGAGCATCCCGTGTTGTGAGAGTCCCAGTGGCAGTGCCATGACAGCTTCATAGCTTCTCCTGGCTCTCCAATGCAGTAAAGCATTTCAGCAACGAGCTGAAACCACAAACATGCAAGTAATTTTGGTCTCTATTTGGTGTTCCTGTGCATTGGAGCATAAACACGTCTTGCTCCACTGGAGCCCAACGGCGTCATGCCAAATACAGGAGGGGGGTCATTGCAGAGATAGTTTGGGTGGCTTCTCTGCTGGCTTCTTCATGCCATAAGCTGCAGGGAGGCTCTTGGCATGGCTTTGTACTGCGTGCCCTCCCCAGCACCCTGCTGTGGGAGCAGCACTCCGTCCTGACACTCCTCTTTGCATGGGTGTTGTCTAGGCTGTACCCCCCAGGAGATCATGGAGAAAATCTGCAACCACCATTACCGGGACCCTGTTGGGGAAGATTGTCCTGAAGACCTGAGGAGAATCATTGACCAGTGCCGGGCCTTTGACCCTTCCCAACGCCCTTCTGCTGAGGGTAAGTATCCTGGACATCGTCTGGCCCTTCGTATCCCTCAAGCAGCTGCCTCAGTGGTCAGTTTGCCCCCTCTTTTCCATATGAGTTTGTCTGGTTTTGTGTTCCATGATCCCTCCTTCACCTACCATCTAATGAGGCCCTAATCTCAGACCACTCTTTCTCCTGTAGAGTGATACAGTTAACACCTACCCATGCCATGCCAATAATCACTGGGCTGTTCGTCTGGCATCACAGCAGAGTAAGCTTTGGCTCTTGGACAAGCGCCAAGCCAGGAGCACGGATGTGTGGGTTAATTCCCACTAGGGTCCCACAGATCCCGTAAAGCTGGAGGAGCAGCCACGACGCACTGCAGGAGCGGTTCCTGCCTTGGGCCTTGAGCAGTAAATTGCAGTCTTGGGAAAAGCTCCGTGGCAGGGAAGGCCTCACTGCCTCTGAAGTTGTTTTGGGTCTGATAAGATACATCACTGGTCTCCACAAGAAAATTTAACAGAAACACTAGGAAAAGATAGAGGAGTCTTTCTGGTGCAGAGCTGGGAGGACATCTGCTATTTCCAGGCCCATCTTCCTAGATGTGGCCGCTTCTCTCTGGGCTTGTACTCGTCTGTGTCTGCTCAGGCTTGTCCCCTGCTAGTGGCTGCCCAGTCTCGCTGGCCTGAGGAGAGGGTGACTCCACATCCCGGTTGTTGTCAGCGAGGCAAAGCTATCTTCTCATCGGGGCAAAAAAAAGGCCTCCAAGAAATGTTCTGTTTTGATTAACGCCATCGTTGTGTTTTGCAGAGATCGTGGACTCGCTGGCTGACCTGGAGAAAAGCAGAACCCATGGAAGTTAACCGTGGAAAGCCGGCTCGGGCGATGGAAAGAAGCCAAGGGAAAGCGGCGAGCCTTCCTCCCGCGAGCCAGGCGTGCCTGCTCGCCCCTCTTCCTCACCTCCTCCAACACACGCCTGTGGCTGTGTGCCGAGACCTACGCCGCTACCAGGCGCCGGGCCTGGGGATGCCTGAGGGGCAGCTGGAGGGCCGAGGCACCC